TGAAGCTATTAGATTGATGAGGAAACCGATGATTCTCAGTTTCTTTTTAATTAATGCAATGATACTTTGATTAACCACAAAGCAGCTTATTGATTTATTAAATCGTTTTTAAAATTTCAGCATTGATTACATTGCCAAAGGATTTTTACGTCGAGGCTCTTTATGCAAATTTTCATAAATATACATGTGCCATGTACTTAATAAAACATGGAGAACTTTCATGATTTAATTTTGAGGAAATTTATTTAAAGAGCGTAGTGGCTTAATTTATAGTGCAGATGATTAAAAAGAGTTGTTGTAGTAAAGTGTTTTTTTTTACAGCTGGTAATTTTATTTTAAAACTCATATTTAATGAGAAATATTATCATATTTTTATCATTCTCTTCATCTTACATTCACATAATATCCGGCTTTAAATACATATTAGGAAACATAAGAGCAATTGTATGATGAATTTGAAATTACTGAGATCAGATGTAGCTTTGACATGGGGATGAAAGCATTTTCTTTTGCCAAAAATTTGTTATAGAAGTATGAAAGACTATGAATTGCATCATTTTTTCCCTGACAATTCAAAAAAATCATAGAACATAGAATTTCTGCCTTTCTAAGTCACCTCAATTCAATATCAATGTCTCTGTCTACCCCTATTAAAAAGTCTAGACCATCAAAAGGAATGCCAGAGATTGTTGAACAAATCCTCTTTTGAAGTTAGAGTACTCTTTCCAGTTTTGAGGAAGTTCAGTCTTGTGTGGCGGTGACTAACACTAGTGAGAGACCAGAGGGTGGAACTGTGGAGGTGGTTAACACTAGTGAGTGAGCAGAAGGTGGAACTGTGAAGGTGGCTAATACTAGTAAGTGACCAGAAGGTGGAACTGTGACGGTGGCTAACACTAGTAAGAGACCAGAATGTTAAACTGTGACGGTGGCTAACACTAGTGAGAGACCAGAAGGTAGACTGTGCCGGTGGCTAACACTAGTGAGAGACCAGAAGGTGGAACTGTGGCGGTGGCTAACACTAGTGAGAGACCAGAAAAAGGAACTGTAGCAGTGGTTAACACTAACGAGAGACCAGAACGTGGTACTGTGGCGGTGGATAACACAAGTGAGAGACCACAAAGTGGAACTGTAACGGTGGCTATCACTAGTGAGAGACCAGTACGTGGAGCTGTGGCGGTGGCTAACATAAGTGAGAGACTAGAAGATGGAACTGTGGCAGTGGCCAACACTTGTGAGAGACCAGAAGGTGGAACTATGGCGGTGGCTAACACAAGTGAGAGACTAGAAGTTGGAACTGTGTCGGTGGCTAACACTTGTGAGAGACCAGAAGATGGAACTGTGGCGGGGGTTAACATTAGTAATCGTATCTTCATAAATATATGTGTATTTAATGAAACATGGGGAACCAAAACCTAAAGCAACTACTTTTCATAAGAAATATCATCGTCATAATATTTTTAATCTTTACAAAATCAGAGTCGAAATGATCCTATGGAAGGTGATCGATTTTGTTGAACAATAAATTTTAATATTTTATGCCTTAGGGGAGGATACGACATGGGTATATTGCAACAGGGAGAGGGTTATGAGTTATGACTCATTTTTAGCATGTAGAGCTTTCTAATAAAGAATTGTCCTGACATGATAATCTTTTGTTTACTGTTTCAATAGAATGATTTTACAGATCACAAAATAAAACTGCTATGTGAGCTTGATATGTGTCAACTTAAGAGTTAGCCTCGCAATCTCAAGCTAAAAAATAGTCTATAAACGTGAAGTCAAAATGGATCCCATTTACAATTATCGTGTATTAACAACAAACACCTTCCAACCCATCGAACAGAACTGTACTGCTGAATTTAAAGTGTTTTAAAAAAGACTTTCATTTATATTGTAATGTTCAGGAATTTCGTGTTTAATTTTAATAATCCATTATCTGTTACAAATATTTGCGGTCATCCTAAGCGAAGAAGCTTTGTTGTTGTTTTGACGAGCTTTTTACACTTGAACGAGTCCCCCACAATTGTTTCCGATTACATAGCGCAATGTAAAAGTTAAACATATAGTCTTGCCGTGCCTCTTGTATAACGACTTACCGATGCTGTATTTGTTTGCTGTTACATGTGTGTACCCGATTCCTAAGCTGGGTAAAAAATCAAACCAATGAAATTCTTTATTATCTTCGAACTAATCAATAATAATTCCGTTTCTAAGCCAACGTAGTGAAAATTAGAAGGAAACGTAGCAAAACCAAAAAGTAAAAAGGATAACTGGTGAAATTCTCCTTTTCACCGCTTTTCATAGAGTTCACTGCATAAAAGAACGTAACTTAGTTGACCATGGTTAACATTGCTAAATATTATTTTAATGATACATGAAATATGCATAAATTTTGAATATTTTCCGTTGCAGCGCTCGCCCATTTTGATGTACCTTAAAGAATTGTCCCTCGTTATGAGTTAAAAGTTACTGCGACAAGATGAAGAGCCTAACAAAATTTTTTTTGCTTCACAAGTTTGTAAGGCAAGTGCCTGGTATCATAAGCTTTGCACAAAGCCGTCTAAAATAAGTTCTCAATGATGTCAGATATTGTGTTTTTAGTATAAAGTCTGAAAGATTGTTTGGTATAAAATGGTATTTTTCAGGCACTTTAGAAAGCTGCATTTCTAAAGTAGTAGCATTATACTAAAAGTCAATGATCGCTCTATACTACGTACTTTACAGACTTGAATTAAATACGAAAAGCGATAATGAATACCAAAAACATTTGGCAGATTTCGACACGAGTTACAAGAACAAAGAGAAACGAAAGACTTGTATCGTTACAAAGATGAGCGACATTCTTTAGCTGCATAAAAAATCAGGAAATCTAAATTTAATGAGCGATATCATTTTAAAGATAAACCGATTTTAGGATCAAAATTTCTACATGTTAAACGACTTAAATATTTAAACAATTCAATGATGGCAAATGAGTCCATTTGTAATTTTGAAACGAATTTCCTTCATGAGTCATAAATGTCATTTATTAATATCAAACGGTGAATGGAATAACACATATTTGGCTAATAGACGGTGTGGACGCAACGAATAATATTTGCTTACAAAGGAATTGAAATTCCTTAACATACAAACATTATCATCATAAATACGCATTCTTTTGAAAGACAGTGATATTTGTTTTTGGTAAGTAAAAATTATTGTTGTTTGTCTTTGTAACTTTGTTTGATTGATTTGCAATTACAGGATTACAAACTTCTACACGCTACGTAAAAATATATAATTTATGGTGTTAGGGTGAGACTGAATTATTCAAAGTGTATAAATAATATGACGAGCAACTGATATTTAATGTTACATTTATACATCAAAAGCCCACAATGACATGTTGGTTATTTGTCTTTTTTTACAAACCTTTTACTCGTTAGTAGCTTGAAGTCTTGAACAGTTGAACTTTGAGATAAATTTAACATTTGGAAAAGTTAAGCGTCATGTGTCGTCGATACGTGGCCAAATGATTTTAATTATACAACGGAACTTAAATCATCTTACGAATATAGATTGTTATGCAAAGAAAAGATACGGTTTTATGATTTTTATTGTTTTTGTTCTAATGCTTGAATTTATTTTGGATGAAAATGATCAATAGAAATGAGAAGTGTAATTGTTAATAATTTACATCGTTTTCCAGGTGTTGTGACTGCCTAGTGTGTTTCTGCCGGGACTATTGAAATTTAGCGGACAACTTGGACGCTGACCCAAACTCTACCATATCATCCTAAATCAAAACAACCCGCGCTCCCCATACAAGCAATGTAAAAGTTAAACATATTGTCTTGAAGCGCCTTCTGTCATGCCTTGCCGATGCTGTAATTGTTTGTTGTACTAGATGACCTTGTTGCCTTGACGATTTCGCTAAGCTGGGCAAAGCAATTAAACCAACGAAATTCTTTGTTATATTCAAACTAATTAACGTCCTGTTTCTATGCTGATTTTGTGAGAATTAGCCATGAAATTAGCAGGAAACGCAGTAAAATGGTCGAAAAGCAAAAATGACAATAACCGCTGAAACTCTCTTTTTGACTGCTTTTCATTCAATATTCATTGTAAGATCTTGAAGCAGCGTTTAAAACTGGGAAAATAGAACAAAAATATCATAATGAATATAAAAATTACATAGTTGACTATGTTAACATTGTATAAGTATTATTTAAATCATACATGAAATATGCCTAAATTTTGAAAATTTTACGTGCAGCACTCGCCAGTTTTGCTGTACCTTAAATCATCGTCATTGGTTATGAGTTATAAGTGACTGCGATGAGATGAACAATTGAGCAATTGTACAAAAATGAAATAATAGAAAAATTTTCCACATATCGACGATACATGACGCTTAACTTGTCCAAATGTTAAATCTATCAAAGCTCAACTGTTCAAGACTTCAAACTGTTAACGAGTAAAAGGTTTGTAAAAAAAGACAAATAACTATCATGTGGGCCCTTGATATATAAGTGCAACATTCAATGTCAGCTGCTCGTCATATTATTTATACACTTTAAATAATTCATTCCCACCCTCACACCATAAATTATATAATTTTTTAGGTAGTCCGTAGAAGTTTGTAATCCCGTAATTGCTAATTATTTTTGCTATAAAAACATGCAAAGAATCCTGTGTAAAAGCCGAGTTTAAAATTAAAGACAATAAATAGTATTACACAATAAGTGATGCAACAAAAAGTAGATATGACTTTAATGTAACGTTACACATTTTTCAATTTTCAGTGAAACTTTATTAATTTAAATCTATGCTAGTGTGCAGTGTAATTATTGCAACAACATGCCATACAAGATAATGTGTATGAACTCTTAGCTTCTAACTATAATGTTGTTTGCTATAAATCTTACCTAAGAAAACAACAAGAAAAAATCTCTACATGCATTTGAGTTATCTATTTCTACATAAGTGCGTTTGTATATTGAGTTGTTCTCAAACCGTTAACCAACGAACGGCAAAAAAGCAACTGTGATTGTGATGATGAATTTAAAACCAATGTTTGGGGAAAACTTAGAAGATGCCGTATTACGTTCATTTGTACCTTCAACACAGACACTTGGATCACATTCTTTTGCTTTAATTTCAAATTCTGCTGAGTCACTGTTAGATGTCAGCGAGATGTAGATGGGTCGGAGATTTTCTTGACTTGATCGTTTTGATCGTCTCGTGGTGGCGCTTGCTGAAATCACACTAACTTTATCCTTCTGTGATGTTCGTTCAAATTTTAAATCGTTGTTGTAACGGTATGGATGTGGGGTCGTACGAGACACGTAAAGAATAGTACTGCCTAGGAGGTCTTTTACTTCTATTTTTAGGTTCAACTTAAGCTTGACTTTATAATTGAAGTATTTGTTTGCGCCTTTTTTAACATTGGCTCTAGTCGTTTCGTTATTTGCCACCACTCGAGGCTCGCAGCATGCAGACGACGTTATAGTGGAAATAAAAGCATTGAGATTTGAGAAAGAGCTCGATTTAAAGAAGTGTTGATTTGGTGAATTAATCTTCTTTAACTGTGTTATGTCGTGATTGGCAATCCCAATGGCATAAATAACAATTCATTATTTTTCACAATCTTTGCTGGTGCTGTGATGCTATCATGCGATTTTCCATCAGTTAGAACGATAAGTATTCGGGGTATTCCGTCTACCGTTGGACGAAGACCATGATTTGTTGTGAATTGATCGATTAAAATGCGCTGAAATGCTGCACCAAGAAACGTACTTCCACTACGATGAGCGATCGACGAAATTGCCCGACTATACTCCGATTGTGTAGTGTAATCGTTTAAGTGGAAGTGTGAAGAATAAACGAATGAAAAAGTTGATAAGCCAAATCTTGCACCGTTCTTTCCGGTTAAATTTTCATCGGGAAATGATTTGATAACATTTTTTACAAAGTCAAGACATTTCTGAAAGTTATTTTGTCCTACACTTCCTGATTCGTCAAGAAGAAAAACAAGATCCACCGGTTTACTGCAATTGGAAAACGTTGCTTCAATTAGGTCTGCTTCGTCGTCACGTCGGATCAAATCTCCACGTAATTGCGCATCGGAATTTTTATAAAAATTTCTTAGTTCCTTTACGGCTCCTTTCCAGTCATTTGTGGTCACGGCTTTCCAGAATTTTGGATAAGCTTGTGGATAACCAAATTGAAACCAGACGCTAACAATAGCTGTGCGAACACCACGAGGGAGAAAATCAAATGCTGTAGAATCAATGGTTTTATCTCGATCGTATCTACTCTTTGTTTCTTGCACAATCTTTGTCTTAATCACACTTGTTACATTCTTCGCCTGCTCTCGGGTAAGTTGGAAGGGATTTTCAATTCTGGTGCATGCTGCAGTGTCTTTTTACAAACCAAAATATGGCTGAAGTCTTGCTACATTTATTTAGTTAATTATTTTTTCATTCAACTTCGCCTGCATCATGCTATAAATGCAAATGAACATAGGTAACTATTAAATAGCAGGAAACATGCTACAGCTCTTGTTAATTAAAGCAGGCAAAATCACCAAACGAGACGTGTACGAACTTTTGAAAAGGCCTGGCTCCTAGAGGGTTAATTCAAACAAATGCCACAAACATTAAAAGCAAGACGATATTTACAGGATAGTTCACATTTTTTATCGTCATGAACAGCAAATATAGCTACCCTTTTAAGGATTGTTTAAAATGTTGTAATAGCCTTTTCTTGAATAGACTAAGGTTGACATTAATGCATTCTAGAGTCTAATGCACGTGTTTAAATACGACTTTTAAAATTCTTTTGTTTTGCAAACATTTGTAACAAAATGATAGATTATTTGGATAGCACTCAATCGTGTTTTTTATGGCTACGAAGATTGACAGTTTAATGGTCAAAATTCTTTATCAATTTTAAGACCATGAACTACTAATATCAGGCAAAAGTTTTTGTAGTCAATAAACTATTTTTATTGAATTTTACTTGAAATGAAAGTTTTTAATAAATGCTGAGGAAATAATGCCTCTGTTTTCGGGGGGGGGGGGTTAATTTATAAATCAGCCGCTGAATTTTTCCTTTTGAGGGTGCTCAAATTTTTAGGGCAACTATTTTAATTACTTTCAAAGTTTTTTAATTACTTTCAAAGTTTTCATCGTTTTATCTACAGTTTTATTACATTTAAAAATACAATTGCATCTCTAATCTGCAGAAAAAAAGAGCAAGATATATTAATTGTTTCTCAGCTTTTAATAAGGCTTTTTCATTGCACAAAATGCTAAAAAGCAGAATGCCGCAAGCCATGTAAAGTGCACGCTAAGACTTGAAATGAGAGATAGGAGGTTCTGATTATCTTGATAAGGGAAGAAATATTGTTTACGTATGTGTTTGTAAGGACAAATATCAGTAGTTAACTGCATGGTCATACTCCTTTCTGTTCGTGCGAATCCAAAACTTGGACAAACATTGAATGTATAAACAAGCATCATTTTTCTGATGATTTCAGGAAACATAAAATGAAATTTGTTTTTCAAATTTATAAAATGTTGAACTTGATGAACAGGGATTTTTACCAGTGTGTTGAAGTTTTATTTTCAAGAACAAAAAGAGACACGACATAATGAGGATAAAGGCATAATAGTAAGAAAAATGTAAATATAAATGAAGGTCAGGGGCGGATCTAGAGTATGTCAAATCCGTCGCGCGACTGATGTTTAAAACTCAAAAATTACCTGTTCATACTAATTAAAAATTCATTAATTATTCTTACTTTATTGTCGCATTTACTTCGTGATAAAAATCCAGCTTTATTTATCATTGAAAACTAATGACTAATCCAATGAATATCTCGTTGGTAACCAGATCAGTTGAATTTTAATTGATCTGGAATAACCGACTCATAAGCGGGGGGGCTTGCCTGGTTCGACTGATAATGGAGTCTATGAACGCCATAAACGCTTATTTCATTGGTCAATAGCCAGATAAGTGGACGATCTGGAATAATCTCGACCGATAAGCGGGGACCTATAAGGGAGTCCACTTGCTATGGTGTAATTGGTTCGCTTAAATTTTTGTCTTACTGTGATTGGTTTGACCGATTTCGACTGATAGCCAACTGAACTAACATAGTCAAGCTCAATGTCTGAATTGAATGTTTGATCGTTTCATAGTAATTTTCTAAAGCATGATAGAAACTAAATTACAATCAGATGGAATTTATGGAAATCTTATACAAATTCATAAATTGACATGAATGCTGCTGTCGAAACTGTGAATTTTTTCAAGAGGGTGAAAAATTTATGGATAAATTGTAAATGCTTGACAAAGACGATCTTGCGAGTGACCCCTTTTTTCCCCTTTTCAGTCATTGATGTTCAAAAGCAAGCCAAATTTGCTTTGAATTTTCTCAACAGAAATTTACATCCAATATCGCACCTAAAGGACAACTGAAGTGTATGCATGAATGTAATATATCAAAGTCAATTCATGCGAATGTGTGATGCGATTTATGTCAATATGGGCAATGGTAAGCAGATTGATGCTTCTAAAATTGTTGTTGCTGAAGGACTTTTAGCTATGATTTCTTTAGTGCTTGGGGAATTGTGTTCCGTTATATGGCAGCGAATTTGAAATCCTACATTCCTGCAAATATATTTCAATGGGCAAAAAATCTGTAGCCATAAGGCGCCATACTATCATTTACTTTATCATTAACAAATGTTTGGGGCTTTTCAGTTTATTATCATTGATCATTCAATCATTGGACAGTTATACAACATATTGTTTAAGATTTGAAAAAACTAACATTGATTACATGAGAAGCTGTTTACTATAACCTGTGATTTTGAGTCTTCTGATCCACGAAGCTTTTTATTTTGACAATTTGATTGGAATGGTGTTAAACCTGAGTATTCCACATACATGAAATGTTGTCCCATGTCACATATTGTCCCCTTTTCTAACTGAACACCTCATGTAGAGATGTAAAGGTGTGTTAATCTACGGCTCATACCAGATTGTTTGCCATAAATTCCAAAGGGCTATTGATGTATTAAAAGCATTTTCTATAAAGTAAAAATGTCTTCCTATGTATGCAGATAAACCTTGAAATTTGGCAAAACAGCAAAGTATTCTTCATGATGACTAGGTAATTTTTCTGATGATCATTAGGATTTCTAAACTAAATTAGTTCAGATTTACATTTAAACGAGTTTTGATCATATGAAAAGATATTTATCATAACCAGTAAGCATGACACATGAACCAATTTTAGTTAGAAGGGAAACATATTTATAATAATCACGGATTCAACATGACGGATGGTTCAGTTGCTGAGGAGAAGACATGAGCGTCAAAATCGAAGAAAAACATTACAAAAAAAGTCGCTTGTAATTTAAAAAATAATTTAAATTTCTTAACGCTTTTTGGCAATGATTAATATGGCAGGGAAACCTAGAGTCTCTAAAAGCGTTTGTTTTAAACGATCTACAAATGTCAGGTAGATGGTCGTCAGCACGTGGTGATACGCTACATTTTACAAATGCAGCGTATAGTCTAAAGTGGAATAGTTCTTCGGATAAAAAGCTCGTTGTAGTTGATGACGATGAGAATAATAAATTAGCAGCCACTCTTGCCAGCTTCGCATCAACGAATGCTCCTGTTCCGCTAACACTGACTCCGCTAAAATTGAGGCCAATCCGAAAACTATACTATCTAAAAAGAACATCAATTATGACGATGAACTTTTGAAATTAACGAATTCAATAAATGAACTAAAAACAAACCAAAAAGCAGAATGCCTCAAAGCGGAACAACGCACAAATGACTTGGAAAAAGTCGTTGCATCGCTGGTTGAAGACAAAAAGAATATGTTGGCGAAAATCGAAGCCCTTGAATAACTTGTAAAAGAGCTTACGGCAGAAAATACCACAATTAAAAATATTTTAGAAGTCAAACAAAATAATTGGATCAATGTACAATCAAGAAATATATCTGCGAACAAAAACATCTCGATCCCACGAGGAGATTCTAAACCGACCACTGATGGTACTTTAACTCTGTCGAATACGTTTCAAGTTCTCGCCAATGAGAATATATGTCCCTCTCCGGAGAAAGAAAGTCAGATTCAGAATAAAATTGCTGAATATAGATCTTTCCACAAATCCAAATTTGAAGTGATACAAAAGAAAAACCAAGGCGTAGAACATCCCATTTCATCAAAAAAGCCAACTTCAAAAGTAAAATTTAGAGCAATAAATAGGACCTTGATTATTGGGAACTCAATGGTGAAGCACATCAACCAGCCAAAGATTCAAAGAGCAGCGCGTGCACAGTCTACAGTACTGACAAACAGTGGAGCAAAAGTAGAGGACGTCCATACCAAAATGAACGAAACACTACAGAACGAAAACTATGATTCAATTATTATCCATATGGGTACCAACAATCTGGTAAATGAAGATGCTGAAAGTGCTACATCCAAAATGAAAGAGCTAATAATTGATGCCAAAAAACAAGTCAAAAGAGTTGCTGTATCAAGCGTAATTACAAGGTATGATGGCCGTGTTCAATCAAACAACGTGACTAAATTTAATAAATTGGTTAGTGATATGTGTATACAAGACAACCTAACATTTATAAATAATAACAACATTGATAAGAACCTGCTAAACAGGTCCAACCTTCATTTAAACATGGCTGGTGATAAAGCATTAGGGAGCGCATTTTGCACTTATCTCAAGTCAGCAAGATATGGCCAAAATAAGCATGTTTTAGACCAAAATTATCGGACAAAAAAGTGGAACGATTATCTGCAGTTTGTACGTCAAACATTGAGGCAGGTCTAACTATTGTAAAAGCAAATTCTATTGATGCAAATAGCAATTTTTCATATGATCTTAACAAGGTTTCTAGCAAAAGGTGTTTTAAAATGGTTTTCCTGAACATAGCCAGTCTCCCAAAAAATATTGATGAGATAAGGTGCTCCTTATCAAAGGGTCATATTGATTTAATAGCCTTTAACGAAACTAGGCTTGACTCAACCATTAACGATGGTTTGATGCATGTAACTGGAAATGATTTAATACCATCAGCTTACTCAATTAATCAATCATTCTACACGAAACACAAAATGCTCCAAAAGTCTGATTGACCACATAGTCACAAATACTCCTGAAAAACTATCTGAATCTGGAGTTATTCACCCAGGTATTAGTGACTATGATATGATTTTTGCAATTAGGAAAACTTCCATACCAAAAAGTAAAACATCATTGAAATAAGGAACATGAAAAACTTTAATGAGAAAAAGTTTCTTGATAAACTCAGGGAGCAACTATGGGATTTTATATATTTCTTCCCCTGTGATACTAATGCTATGTGGGAAATGTGGAAAGGTCTATTCCTTGAGATTTTTGACAAATATGCACCCATTCAAAATAAAAAGATTTGAGGAAAAAATTTTCCATGGATGACAAAGGACATAAAAGAACTAATGAAAAATCGAGACTATTTGAAGCACAACGCAATGAAAACAAATTTAGAAACAGACTGGCTGTTTTACAGGAAAAGCAGGAATAAAGTAAATATTAAACTAAAATATACAAAAAAAGAGTACTACTTTTCAAAGATTGTTGGTCAAAAACAAAACCCTAAACAGGCCTGGAAAACTATTAATAATTTATTGGGAAAACAAAAGAATGAAACAGTTATAAATGAAATGATTATCAATGACAATACTTTTACAACCTCAGAAAGCATAGCAGAGGGCCTTAATACATATTTTTCTAATATTGGCCCAAAACTTACTGAAGAAATAGACAACATAAAAACTAATTTTGAAAATTATGTAAATACAACTAAATCAGAGTTTGCTGCCTTTCAGCCAACTACTGTCCATAATGCATACCATCTCCTTTGTGGACTTTCTACAAGTAAAGCAACAGGTTGTGATGGAATTTCATGTAAAATTTTAAAACTAGCTGCACCTATCATATCTGAAATATTAACCTATATTTTCAATCAGTGCATAATTTTATCTGACTTCCCAGATGAATGGAAAACAGCAAGAATTATACCACTTTACAAAAATGGACACCATAAATTGCCTGGGAACTATAAACCAATTTCAATTCTTCCAGTTGTCATTATAATCATTGAACGTATACTTTACGATCAACTCTACAACTACTCTTCTAAATCTGAAATCCTAAGTGATTTCCAATTTGGTTTCAGAAAATCACATTCAACAACAACTGCCTTAATTGACTTACGAATTATTGGTGCACAAACATGGATAAAAGGTTGCTTGCTCAACCTTGTAGTCCAAATTGATCTAAAAAAGGCTTTTGATACTGTTGATCACAAAAATTTACTAAGAAAACTTGAGTTGTATGGAATTAAAGGACAAAGCCTACAAACTAATTGAATCCTATCTGTCAAAGTGAACTCAAAGATGCCAAATCAAAAATTTTATTTCATCCCAGCAACCCCTCACCTGTGGAGTTCCTCAGGGCTCTATTCTAGGTCCGTTATTTTTCTTAATATATATAAATGACTTACCCTCATGCTTAGAGCAATGTAAACCAAGAATGTTTGCTAATGATACTAGCATAACTACTTCAAATAATGATATAGTTGAACTAGAAAAGACAGTAAACTCTGACTTGAAAAATCTTGAAAAGTGGTTGATAGCAAACAAACTTAGTTTGAATTCAACCAAGACAGAATATTTGATCATAGGCTCTAAACAAATTATCAAGAATTTTTTGACTTCTAATTTACATATTGCAATTGGCAATTACGTTATAAATAGAATTTATGAGTACGAAAGTTTGGGTTCAATAATTGACCAACACTTATCTTGGAAGAGTCACACTGATAAAATTTGCAAAAAAAGAGCAGCCGGTATTTCTGCCCTTAGAAAATTAAAGGAATACACAGACAAACAAACACTTATCTCTATTTATAATGCCCTGGTACATCCTTACTTCACATATTGCTGTGAAGTTTGGGGTGTATTGGGGGAAACTCAGTCCAAAAGACTACAAAGCTTCAAAATAGAGCTGCAAAAATTATCATAAGCATGGGCAATGATGTCGATCATTGTAACGCATTACAAGAATTGAAGTGGGGACCTCTTGAAATACTTAGAAAAAAAGCTAAAGCCAAGCTGATGTTTAAATTATTAAAAAATGCAGGACCAAATTCACTTACTACATTGTTTACCTATAAAAAAGACATCACTGATTACAATCTACACAATATTACAAGTTGTCTGAATGTTCCTATGCCTAGTACTAACTCCTTGAAGAAAAGCTTTGCGTATGATGGGGCTTCTGTTTGGAATTCAATTCCACCAGAAATCAGAAATAGCAAAAGCGTGTCACTTTTGCTGCTTGCATTTTATGATTTAGTTTAATATGTAACTGATGAAATAAACTAAACTCTGTAAATATTTAAACTTATCTTTCTCTCCTATAGATTTTTTATTTCTTAGTAAATTTTGTAATTGTTTTTGAACAAAAGCACGCCCCTCGTGGAAATCAACCCTAGTTGACAAGGCCAGCGTGTCAAAATAAAGATTTTCATTCATTCATTCATTCATCGTGTCGGGGAAAAACGTTCTCTGAACGACCTCTAAGACAGTTCAGAAAGCTTTTGTAAAACACAATCATAGAAAAAACGGTTTTCAGTGAAAAAACCCTTTAAAATTCAAAAGAAATGTAAATGACGTTACTTTCTTTGGTGCGATTCAAGACCATTTCTTGTATCAAATGGTTGACGAGCCTACTCGTGGGAACAACATATTAGACTTAGTACTAACGACTAACATCGACCTGATAAATAACTTGGAAGTCTGTGAACCATTCTCCGATCATAATGCAATAACATTCATTGTAAACACTCTCCCCTACCAACAACGGTCTCAACTAAAGAAAATTATGCATTCAACAAGGCAAACTGGAATCATCTAAGATCTTTGTTCAGTTATTCACCCTGGTACTTTACAATAGAACAACAAGACATAAATGCTAACTGGGAAACATGGAAAGACCTTTATTTTGCAGCGGTAAACGAAAGTATTCCCAAGTACCGGCATAAAAGAAAAAACATCGCTCCATGGATTACGAAGGATTTAATTAAATTGTGCAGGAAAAAGAAACACGTTTATAAAAAAGCAAAAAAAACCAACAATGAAAATCACTGGGCCGCCTATCGTACTTTGAACAATTCTTTGAAAAAGAAATGTAACTCAGCCAAATGGAGACATCTTGAGGCACTCGCAGATAAATTGCAGGTAGAGAATAATTCCAAGCCTTTTTGGAACTACATGCGTTCAATAAGAAAAGGAACTAACGACCTATTGTTCCTAAAAGACGGAAGTGCAGAATCACTGGAGATCAGGAGATTGCACAACATATGAACGCATATTTTGCATCAGTATTTACACAAGAACAAAAGTCTCTTCCGGAATTTGATCATGTTCTCAATGATAAGTTGTGCAATGTATTATGTACACCTAGCGAAGTGGAAAAACATCTGAAAAACCTAAACATACACAAATCCCCAGGTCCTGATAACTTATCGCCTCGTATCCTAAAAGAAAGTGCACTGGAACTATCTACGTCACTTTGTAACTTATTTAACATGTCGTTCCAATCCGGCTCACTACCCAACGACTGGAAAATTGCACACGTTATTCCAATTTATAAAAAGGGACCAAAATATAGAAAGGAAAACTATCGCCAGGTCTCGCTAACATCTATCATTAGTAAAACGGCGGAGAAGATTGTGAAATCGAGAGGATTCTCATTTTGGACGGAACACCAACTACTAAACCCAAGCCAATTTGGATACCTGGAGGGCCGATCGACAGTGTCACAACTTTTAAGCTGTTATAATGACTGGTGTTTAACAAGAAATTCGTCTAAAGTGTCTGATGTAATATTTCTGGACCTGTCAAAAGCGTTCGACAGTGTCCCTCATGAGCGCCTACTTTTAAAACTTAATAGGTACGGGATAGATGGGCAGCTGCACCTGTGGTTCAAGAACTTCTTAACCAATCGAAAACAAAGAGTTATGGTACGTGGATCGTACTCGGATTGGTCACCAGTTACATCTGGTGTCCCTCAAGGCTCAGTACTGGGACCGGTTATGTTCCTTATTTATGTGAACGAAATACCTGGCATCATCACGTCTACTGCCAAATTATTTGCTGACGATACCAAAATCTACCGACAGATAAATAATATCGATGATTCTATTGCTTTGCAGATAGATCTGACAACCCTCGACCTATGGGCGGATCGTTGGCAGATGAAATTTAGTTCTACCAAATGTGAAGTCATGAGAATTACACATAACAGAGACAAAAAGTCCACGCGGTACAATATATCGAGTACAGTGTTGAGGAATGTATCTAATTACAAAGATCTTGGAGTTATTATGTCTAGTGATTTAAAATGGTCAAAACATGTTGAACAAATAGTTCACAAAGCAAATAAGGTTCTTGGCTTACTTAAACGCACAGTAGGCGGTAAAAACAAAGATATTTTTTCAAACTTGTACAAAACCTTGGTTCGTCCAATCTTGGAATACGCCTGCCCGGTGTGGTCACCACACCTCATGAAAGACATCGATGAAATTGAGAAGATACAAAGAAGAGCTTCGCGAATTGCCTTAGGCCAAAGAAGACAAGAGATGGCGTACACGGAGAGGTGTAAAATTCTTAAATGGAACTCTTTAGTACAAAGGAGAGATTTCCTTTCCTTAGTGGAATGTTACAAAACTGTATTCAATCTAAATGGATTGAATTTCAGCGAATATTTTGAACTTTGTAAAAACACTAAATCGAGATCTAACCACTCATATAAACTATAACTCAAACTCGCAAGACTGAACTGTTACAAAAATTCTTTCTTTGTCAGAATTATCAAACCCTGGAATAATCTTCCTAATAATTTATTTAATTTTTGTGACAGCCCTAACGTTCGTAAGTTTAAATCAAAATTGAAGAAACACATGAATATTTATTGAATCGTCAGTTAATAATTGATATTTAGCTGTTTCTTATTTGACATTTATTTATTTATTTATTATTTACTATTTATTTTTTTTTATTTATTATTTTTTTATTTTTTATTAACTAGTTCTGTAAGATTTTTTACATAAATAGGAGACCCTTGATATAGGGCTAACCTCTGGGTTTCCTTTTTCTTAATAATGATGTATTTACATGTTGTTCTGAAATAAAGTATTGTATTATAAGAGTAGATTGTTATACGAAAGAATGTTATATGCAGTGCAGTGTTTGAAATTAAATGAAGATATTATCTTCGCACTTTGCCGGGCAATTTAAGCAATTGTCTCATGATTTTTCAGGTTCATGAGACAATTAAGTAGATTGTTACGTAAAGCAAAGATACGGCCTTATGATTTTTATTGTTTTTGTTCATAAAATTGAATATAATTTGGAACAAAATGATCAATAGAAATGAGAAGTATAAATTTTACTAAATTATACCGTTTTCAAGATACTTTGGGAGTAAGTGGTGAAAAACCTCAACTCCTTACTCAAAAGTTCGCTTTATACAGATGATGTGGTACAAAAATTCACAATATCAAATTGTGGAACTTTAGCTCGTTTTAGTTGAATAAGACAAAATAGGCGTTTGTTTCCTTTAATACAAATGGGAAAAGTAGATCTCATTCTTGGATATAAGATAATTATACATTACATTATGATCTAATAAATAAAATGGAGGGAAAGCTGAAAGAGAATCCTTTAGTAGAAATTACAAAGATTTGTTGAGATCAAGTCCAATATTTGGTTGTATGTCCATTGCTGTAATTGGATTAAATTATTATTTCTAATTCGTTGATTGACCTAATTTTAACCCAAAGAGCCTGAAACGTGGCGGAACTAAATTCGTCAAGAACTGTAAACCAAACAGAATTTCTAATTTATAGACATATACACCACCATATGGTTTAAAAGCTCTGTTTTTTTACAACCAAGGTTGTCGAAACGTCAGTCAACAACAACAACAACAGTACTTCTCAGGACTATACCAACCTGGGCGATCTACATTTACAAACAAATAACGATACTCCCGGGTTCAAGCCATTTAATACATATGTGAATTGTGAAGCGTTTGTTTGCGTACAAAGATGAAGCAGAAGTTATATGCAATAAGCAAAGAATTGTCGGTGACATAATCCTGTGAAAATGTTGTTATTTTGAGATATATCTAGTAACATTACGACTCAAAAATTGGTTTGTATTATTTTGCGTGTTATTTTGCATTTTACATTCAGTCAAGCAGAACTAAACAAAAATAGCACTTCGATGTACTTGTTAGAACAAATACAGTATTCGTCATTACGGGGAAAAACGTTCTTTGAATGACATCTAAGACAGTTCAGAAAATGTTTTTAAAACACAATCATAGAAAAACTGGTTTTCAGTGACAAAAAAACTTTTAAAAGTCGCAAGAAATCTAAATGACGTTACTTTATTTGGTGCGATTTTTGTGAGCACATGCATTTATGAGGCTTAGGTGCAA